AGGCTTTGTTTTCCTTTGTTACTGCTGGCAACTATGCGATAAAATTGGTTTAAACTAAGTAGATCCAGACAAGTCAACAAGGAAATGATCTTCATGCTAATATTTTTTCATCTTAGTGAATATTTCTCATCAGATGTCCCATCGAACAGGACAAGAACTCATCTTTCATAGGAGAGTCAAGGACCAGTGAGCCTCCACAGTCAAATTAAGAACCTACAAGGCTAAAGATGAAGTCAGGATGCCAAAAAAGAGATTCAAGCAGTGGATCTCAGGAAGAATTTAGACGCTTTACTTTTGAAATTCTGGAAAAGTGTGCTGAAGAAGTTTGGTTGCAACTTGGTAAGCAAATATCTCTTTGCATTTTCTGAGTTCAATTCACTTTACAGTCCATATGAAATCAGATAGGTATACCAAATTAATAAAGGGTGTGGACATGACCAGGGCTTTCTATGGATAGTAAAATAGGAATCTTCAGCAGAAATCTATGCAAATATAGATTGGATTCAATAAATATATAGGAAGCAATATCTGGGCTTATAACACATAGACTTGCCCCTAAGATCATCACACTGATAATCCTTCAGGATAAACATGGAGTGGATACAAGCACAAGTAGTTCCAATAGAACTAGACATCAGTAAAGTATATAGAAGCTGAGGAAACAGGTCACGGAATGAGATATAGCTAGAGCTTGTGTGTATGGGAGGAGGTTTCAGGTCAATGTTGTAAGTGATACCTTAAACAAATAGGAAAGGGGCAGATGCTATTAACACCAGCTCCAGTGTTCAGACCGTCTCTGTTCCTTGGAAACCAGGAAGAGCTCCCAAGCACAAGAGTGCTGTGATGAGAGGTAATGCTAACAGAGATGGCTGGGAAGAGGGCTGAGAGCGAACTTGGTGGGGTGGAAACTGAGTGCAGCCTTAGATGCGTGTGGTCCTGGGGGATAGAGGAGGAGGCAGCTTTTCATACTGATTGAGAGGGAACTTGCCCAGTTGCAAATGGATAGTGAAAGAAAGGACAGTGACTGTTAGTTTTCTTGCCTGAAAAACTAGAAGATTCAAACATGCTTACAGAGAAAAACATTTGTTGTACAAAGCCAGTTTGACCAATTATAGGAATTAATTAAAAAGTTTAAAACCAGACATATGAATCACTGGGCAAAATGTCGATAAAATAGCCTAGATGACTGAAATTTTTATTTTCAATCCATCATTGTAAGGGCATCCACTGGGCACTAACCAAAACATACTCATCTATATACAACCAGCTAAAAATTTCTCTAAATACCCTCATAGCTGATAAGTCTGACTTTTGTGGTCCTTGAAGACTGTAAAATTTGTCTTACACTTGTAAGATGAATAGAAAAAGATGGCAATTACCTTAAAAGGTAAGACAGACTATGGCTATTTTTTTCCTGGAACAAGTAATATTTTGAAGGATCAAATGGTTAAAACCGTACTAAGGTCAAGCTTGTTCTTTCTTTTGTTCATATTATTTGCTTTCCTATTTATTTTTGGTTTTTAAATTTCTCATGCACTATCTATGTATGCATCAATTGTGGATTAATTTAAAAATACTCTTTCCTCCCAGGAAAATCAATTCAGTGTTCCAAATAAATACGATCAAATCTCACTGAACCAAATAGAATTCTTTCTAACCATATCGAATTTTTGCCCCCAATACTGGTGATCAAACTGAGGACTGTGTACTTAACAGGCAGCTGCCACACCACTGAGCTACATCCCTGGCCCACATTCTTTTCTTTTTAAAAGAATGATGCTAAAGCTACCTTTGGAATTCACTTCCTGCAAATAGAATCCCCTTAGGAGTTTGAGGAACTCAGTTCATTAGTGAATGACAATGTAGCCACCTTTTACCCTCATTTTGAGTCTTACTTCTGTCCTAAGTCTGTATCACTGGGGATTTTGATCTGTAGTCGAGAAGGAACAGGGCTGCAATATGTGAAAACACATTTCTCTAAGTTGCATTTGCTAAAAGTATCACTTTCTATCACTAAGAGCACACTAGAATGCATAATAATTCTCTTGGTTATGTTTCAAATCATCCCTGTGAAAAATATGAATAAAATGCATTTTCCTTGGGAAATATATTTTTTAAAAAATTTACGGACAATAATTGAGATTTCAAAAATTGTTTTGTAGAACTAATCTGATATGTTTTTTCAGAGCATTTTAATTTTTTCTCTCCTCTCTAAAAAGTATGTTTTTTTCCCCTCAAATGAAAACTACCAGCCATAGCCCATCAGAATCTTCCTAAACACTGCATTTAACTTGAGGTACTGTGTCTATTTTCCTTGATATTCCAGGCTGAGATTTTACAAAGTACTTCTCATCATGCTTTCTACAAACATTTGAAAAAACATTTGGGGCCATAATAAAATTATCAGATTGTTAAAATGAAGGGTAGGAATGAGACTTTTTTTTTCCTTTCGGATAACAGAGTAAGATATCAACTGCCTTTGAACATCAATCAAACAGAATTGATTCTAAAGTTTATCTCTTCATATTTATGAAGCCAGTTCAGTAATTCATGGTCACAAAAGCCATTGGAAACCATTACATTCTTGCTAATGCCAAAAAATGGCTTGTGGGATCTAGGCCTGGTGGCTCTTGGTCTTCATTTGCCTATGGCAAGTTGGTAGCCCATGTCAGATTTTCAGGGCATTGGACAGTTCTGTCACACAGAAGGACCTGTCTTGTTTGTGACCCATGTATTCCCAAAATTGTTATGATCATAGTACATCTTATAATAGAAGCTTTATTATTTACTTCCTACTCAGTGAAAATGTGCTTATTGAACCTTTTCTTGAAGATAGGATGAAGCAGAGAACATTGGGCAGGAAGGATAAAGAACCAAGTCCCAAGGAACAGGGCCCTGGTGATAGAAACAAACTTTGACCCCTGAGAATTATATGTAAGATCCGTATAGCACAAATCTGCCATGTGGAGAATAGCCAGTGTGAATCAACAGAGGACATACAGGGCAAGACTACTACCCTTTGTTATTTCTGAAACCTGAACTGCTTTTAGAAAGAAAGGTTGGAATGTTCCATAAGAGCCTGGAGCATGGGATGGAGGGGCATGGCACACACTCAGTATGGGCTATTTAAAACCAGTCCTTTGGCTTCCTCTGTGATTCTAAATGTGTGTAATCACATTACCCTGCAGCAGCCGGTAACTATTTCTATAACCCTGTCCAGCATCTGTGCTTGTTGTCATTGGGTCCACCCAACAAAAACAAAGTGGAGATATGGTAACTGATTAGATTGATCAATCCAGGCTTTCTGTGTCATAGCTAATGTTTATCTGATGTTAGATTATGAATAGTTGTGTGACTGAGACTTGAATTTTATGGACTGATCTATTTAACTATCCTAGGGGAGGGAGGGAGGTGCCTTAGTACATCAAAAAGATGCTTTTCAGCTATTTATTTATTTAATGAATGAGCAAAATAAACACAGTTTATCATTTCTCAGGCACAGAAAATTCTCATCATATGGAAAGTTCCCATATTTAGAGACTTTGCCCCTTTCTGTACTAAAACGGGTCTTTTTAAAATTTGTTTGATGTTCTAACACTTCCCCTAAGCACACTTTTGGTCATCAGTCAAACAGATAAACCCCTCAGGAATAATCCACTCAGTTGTTAATAATCCACTCAAAGACATTAGCCAGGGGAAGGACATTAGCCAACATTGTTACATAATGTCAAAACACCTAATCAAGTTTGTAAATTTAAATACTCAAACCAGTTCTGGGATTTCACCCAGACAAAACAATCAATTGAATAACTTTTTGCTTTATGTATGTAAAATTTTTAAACCATATCATTATAAAACATGTAATCACTTGCCATATAGTTTGCCAAGAGTTTTATCTACTTAATCTTATTTATCTCTGATAAAAACCTTTCAAAGTATATGCTTTCACCTCCATTTTACAGATAAGGAGACTGAGGCTGAGTAACATTCAATAATTTGCACAAGACTCATGTCTAAGTTCTAGTAATAGTGGTTATTTTTCTGTGTATGTATAATCTTGTTATCCATAACAGCCAAAATGGCCAAGTAAGAGAAAAAACATGCCCCCAAAAGCCAAAGACTGGGGGTCTAAATCTTGTAGTTAAGATACTTCAAACTCAGCATGTCAATCATCTACTTTCTCTCCTCTGGTACCATTTAGCTACCAACCCAAGTCCATCTCCTGATATCTGAACATCTTTAGACTTCTTGACCCTCATGTGATACTTTTCTAAGAACTAGAACTCCAATGGCCAAACGTTACACATCAAAATGAATTATACATATTACATTATGCCTATGCAGATGTCTGATTTCTTAGTCAAATATTATTTTTTAGACATTGAATATGTGGTTCCCTTGTGGCTAACTCAAAGCATACAGCAAAGAATAATCCTCTGTGATATCCTGTATTAACATTGTTTTCCCTCCTTGTAAGGAGACTAGTTATAAGTGAGATGAGATTAGAAAGCAGACTCTTGAGAATTGATGTTTTAAGGAATTACCTAGAAAGAACCATTTTTTTTCCTTTTTTTTTTCTTCCCCACATGGTAAATCATACAGAGTAGCAGCCTGCCCCAGATCCCTGGGAGACAACATCTTGAGCGCATATGTTTGCTGGGCTCTGTATTGACAAATGAAAAACTCCAGAGCAAAATAATCAAAGTTCCCAAGTTAAAAATGAAAGTAAAATAGTGGAATAGACCTTGTTGCAACATTCCAACAACTTCATAAATAGCCATTAAAGTAGACAGCAGGTTAGCAAATTTGTCATTGCAAGAATCAACCTGCACTGTTGGTATAAAGTTGCAAACAAATCCCATCTACCTCTCACTTTACTGAAATCCTCTTTCTTTTCAGAAATATCACATTCAACAAAATTAAAATTGAGTTCATTTTACTAGAAGGCTCATCCAAATATATGCCATATTAAAAATAGTCATGATATAAATATTTCTCACAAGAGCTGCAGCGATGGTGTGAATAAAAAACTCCCTTCTGAGATTTCAGTAAAACCAGATCTCACAAAGGATCTGAAAGAAAACAAAATACAAAAAACAAACAGACACACACAAAGAGACACATACAGAACAAACCTTATGTTAATCCAGTTTAGCATAACAGTCACTATTTTGACACTATTTGATGAGGTACAATACTGCTCCTTCCCAGATGAAGCGAGAGAGACGAGTCTGCTACAGGTTTCTCATAATAATATTCAGGGGTGGAGGGTATCTAAGCATCAGTAGCCACTAATAAAAAAAAATCCAAAATTCTAAATGCAGCAAAATGTTAGCACTGTCAAATGGCCAAGCATGCAAGAGGAATCTCTCTCTCTCTCTCTTTCTCTCTCTCTCTCTCTCTCTCTCTCTCTCTCTCTGCCTTTCTACCAATACATACAAAGCCCCAAATACACTCACTGGAATTTTAAAATCATAAATTAGATATCAAAATGCTTACGGGCCTTACAATGAGATAACATCAGGAGGAACGGTGCGTGGAATGGATCTGGCATTCTCACATAAAGCATTATCTTTGGTACAAGTACACACGGCAGGGCATTTTGGCTTCGGTGGTTTCTTCCCCTCAGTCAGCAAAAGCGCAGATAAGAGACATAGGCAACAAGCAATTCTTTTCAGGGGGATGCAGGCATTTCCCATCCTTTTGCTTCTTTCTGATTCCATGTAGTCGAAAAATATCCCCACACATGAACAGGGCTTCTGGAATTCGGGTGGTGATTGTCTTGCTCTAAGAACAGGTCACATGGAAGTCCACCCTTCTCCTCTGCCTCTGTATCTCTGCTTTTCAAAACAGGGACCTGCAGCTGATTCGTGAGCAGCTCCTCGCTTCAGCAGTGCACTGCTCCGGGGAAGAGACCTGTGAGGTGCTGTGAGATGGGAGTGATCCAACTGCTGGAGGAAGAGAGCTGACTTGCATCACCAGAAAACACTGAGCACAGACCAGCCTTCGAAGGCAAAGTGAAGTGATGTAACAGAAAATAAACAGCTTTCTGCTTTCACCGGGAGGCCCTTTAATTGTTACCAAAAATAGGACAGCATTATGTCTTATTAGTGAGTGGGTGGGCAGGTGGGAGGGAGCAGTCATCTTGCATAGGATCTCAGCAATCTCGGGAACCTCTGGGAATTTGCTTTTCATTGTACAAACAACCTAGTAAGGAAAACTAGCTTCCCAGCCAGCCCTGCCTGGAAAAATGAAGTTAAATCAAACTCCATAGCATTTGGCTAAAGCCTTGATATTTTTTGCTGAGTCCACCTGGTTGAAGCCCCTGGTGAAAGACAAATGTGAACACATGGAGAATGTGACTTTCAGGGGACAAATGTGGGTGAATACTCCTCTGACACTGATCAACTGTCGTGAATTATTGATTTTCATAACCCACCCACCCCCCACACATGATCCATTCCCTCATTTCAGGACCAGGGAGGGCAGTAGGAGCGCAGACCACCTCTGTGTAGGATCCACCCTGCGCCCTTCTTGCGCCCTCCCTTCTTTGGCAGTAGCACCAGAAGCCTGGAAGAAACTCTTGGCCAGTAGGAGGCAACCAACTTTAGCTTCTTGTGGCTTTGCAAAAGGACTGGCTCATAGAGTATAGAGGATTGTTTTGATTCCATAGTCAACCCAGGAGCTGTGTTATGGGGGAAATGCGAGACTGAGAATCTGAAACCTGGCTTTGAGATCCCAATTCTGCTGGAAACTAACTGACTTTATGGACTACTATTCTCCTGTCTGTAAAATGGCAATGAGAGGATACATGCTGCTTAATCATTGTGAAAATTAAATGACAGCGGTAGGCTATTTTCCTGACACACATAATGGAAAAGAGGATGCACCCTTGGAGAAGGAAAGTTCATTTAGAGAAGCAAAAATCAAGACATGCTGACTTTGAAGTAGTTGGTCTACTCCAAGAGGGTGGGACAGAGGAAGGCGCGGGAGACAGACACTACGCTCCTCTCTCCAGGCTGAAGGTAGCTGTCCTTCAAATTGGCACAGCCAGCCTGGCATGTCTGGCCATGGCCCTTTCTCCTCCTGCTTCTTAGACTGAGAAAGTGTTAAAAGAATTGTTTGAGCAAAAGTGTGATTACACCGTAAGCTCATCCTTACTGGAGCTTGAGACACTTCCACTTGCCCTAACCGCTCAAGGCTGACCCCACACTAACTCCAATTGTTTAGTTAACCTTCTCTGCGCTCTGTGACAGGAGGGCAGTGGCAGGTGCGCTCATTCCCATATTTGATAATTATCTGCTTATCCCAGGGGCTCGAAAGCTGCATGAAGGTGGAAGCCCCGTGTTGTGGACAGTGGAGAGCAAGCATGGCTAAGACAGTGGCAACAGAATAGACAGGCTGCTTGTGGTGACCACATTCCCAGCCAGATAAACTTCACCTTGCAACTCAGAGTTTTAATAACGGACTTAGTTTTAATATAAAGGAAGTCAGGGGCCAGTTTCCTGAAGAGGCACTGACTGAACTGAGCTCCAGGTAAGGAAGAATAAAGGAGGCTGCTATCGAGAGCTTTCCACATGGAGGGAACAGCCTGTGTGAAGGCCCACCCATGATTTAGAGTGACGGGAGAGTTTTGGGAAGAGAAGTGATATTATCTGGTATGTGTTTCCAAAAGGCCGTCAACTCATTATCACTAAACCAGTTTTGGAGGATTTGTGAATATATTGTTTTTTGTAAGGGGGGAAAAAACAAAGGAAACCCTCAGTCCAAGAGAAGTATACTTTTAGAAATAGATTCTACTAATGCTTCACTGTCAAGGAGAAGGGAATATATGATAGTTTTTTTTAGAAACTGTGACCTATGGCAGAAGCCTCACTTTAAACAATAAAAATATCACTTAAAAGTTGGCCACAAGTCAGGTTTTCTTTGTAAATTGAATCCTGCTTCAAGTGCACAGTGGAAACATGCTCCATAAAATAATTATGTGGAGAAAACGTATAGAGGATTGTTTTGATTCCATAGTCAACCCTAAATTATCTGTCATATGGATGATATGTTTTATTACAAAACAAAGATACAGAGAACTTTCAGGAAACTCAGAGATCTTGAATATAATCCCTGTGTATACAAATGGGGAAACTGATGTATTGAGATCACACAGATGCCTAGTGGCAGAACCACCACTCACGTAGCGTGAAACAATGGCAAACAGTAGAGTCAAACAGGATCATTCATGTCCCACATTTCACTCTCCAATAAATCAAGTTGTCAAAACTTAACGCCAGTGTAGACACTGTCAGGCAGCCTTTCTTTTTGACTTGGTAAAGCTGGGAGGGCAATGAATGAAGGACAGAAATCATACACAGACTATTCACTTTGCAGCTGTATTTGTCTGGCTGTTTAGTTTGTCAGTTCAAGCGGAAAAAGGACCATGGAGGGGGAGCTATGTGGACAAATTACAATGGGCACTCTGAAAAGACAGTAACTTTTTCTTTTTCTATGGCATTTAAAGACCAGACTTGAATTCTTTATTCATTTAAAACACCCACCAAGATCAGGCACAGTTTTAACCATGTAATGCAAAATGCTAACAGCCTTTCTGGGAACAGACTCCAGAACTGACTCTGAGGAGGGAGCCAGGGAGATGAGGTTAAGTTCCTCCATGGAAATCTTGAGCAGCACAGGCTTAGGGCTGAGGCCATACTGCGGACAAGCCTCCTCCCCCAATCTTCTACCTCTGGGAAGCCAAGGAGAGAACAGGGAGGTTGGAAGAAGCAGGCTGGAGTAAGACTAGTTTCTACCGACTCAGAGGCCTTTCAGATAAGGTGGCAACCCACCTATGGATTTGGAAAAGGACCTAGAAAGGATGAAGGATCACTGTCAAGGAGAAGGGAATATATGATAGTTTTTTTTAGAAACTGTGACCTATGGCAGAAGCCTCACTTTAAACAATAAAAATATCACTTAAAAGTTGGCCACAAGTCAGGTTTTCTTTGTAAATTGAATCCTGCTTCAAGTGCACAGTGGAAACATGCTCCATAAAATAATTATGTGGAGAAAACGTATAGAGGATTGTTTTGATTCCATAGTCAACCCTAAATTATCTGTCATATGGATGATATGTTTTATTACAAAACAAAGATACAGAGAACTTTCAGGAAACTCAGAGATCTTGAATATAATCCCTGTGTATACAAATGGGGAAACTGATGTATTGAGATCACACAGATGCCTAGTGGCAGAACCACCACTCACGTAGCGTGAAACAATGGCAAACAGTAGAGTCAAACAGGATCATTCATGTCCCACATTTCACTCTCCAATAAATCAAGTTGTCAAAACTTAACGCCAGTGTAGACACTGTCAGGCAGCCTTTCTTTTTGACTTGGTAAAGCTGGGAGGGCAATGAATGAAGGACAGAAATCATACACAGACTATTCACTTTGCAGCTGTATTTGTCTGGCTGTTTAGTTTGTCAGTTCAAGCGGAAAAAGGACCATGGAGGGGGAGCTATGTGGACAAATTACAATGGGCACTCTGAAAAGACAGTAACTTTTTCTTTTTCTATGGCATTTAAAGACCAGACTTGAATTCTTTATTCATTTAAAACACCCACCAAGATCAGGCACAGTTTTAACCATGTAATGCAAAATGCTAACAGCCTTTCTGGGAACAGACTCCAGAACTGACTCTGAGGAGGGAGCCAGGGAGATGAGGTTAAGTTCCTCCATGGAAATCTTGAGCAGCACAGGCTTAGGGCTGAGGCCATACTGCGGACAAGCCTCCTCCCCCAATCTTCTACCTCTGGGAAGCCAAGGAGAGAACAGGGAGGTTGGAAGAAGCAGGCTGGAGTAAGACTAGTTTCTACCGACTCAGAGGCCTTTCAGATAAGGTGGCAACCCACCTATGGATTTGGAAAAGGACCTAGAAAGGATGAAGGCAGCACTGGAAGGAGCCCCAGGAATCTGGGAGGCCTGACGGAGGCAGGCTCAATGACCAGGCTGAGATGTAGAAAAGCAGCTGAACAGGGGCCAGGACAGGCTGTGAACTTCGCCAACCGTGTTATCACGGACCTATTTGACCTTCCTAAGCTATTGTTTTCTCCTCTGTAAAATGAGGACAATAATAGTAGGTCTGGCATAAGAATTGAGAGAATTAAATAAGATAATGTATGTAAGGTGCTCAGTGTGAGGTCTGATTCATGGGAAAAATTTATTATTGTCATCACCACTATTATTTTTGTGGTTGCAACAGGACTTGAATTCTGAATGTGTGACTCTTGGTATTTGGGAAGCAAACCTCTAAAAAAAAATGAGATTGGCTAACATCTGTATTCCCTACAGGAAGCCAGCACTTCTGGGCACTTCTGGGCAGGTGGCTGTGAAAATAGGTTGCAGATTCTTTTCAGCCCAGCAGTGCAGAACATGTGTAAGTTATAGGGGAGGCAAAAGGAATCTACTACGGGGTTCCTGCAAAAGGGAGGCTGTCTCTAGTCACAGGCGCCTTGTGTTGCACGCGGAAGCTGTGAGGAACTATGCATCGTGGAATCCCCAGCAGCTGCTGTGGAGACTGAGACGATTAGCATCCCCCCCACCCAGGCCTGAGACTCAGATAGCACCTGTACTTTTTCTCCCTGACAGCAGCACAGCCTTCCTGGCCCGAGCAGCGTTGACAGCCTTGCCGACACCAGAGGAACTGGCAAATGACCACAACAGGAACCGGAGCGGAAGAGTAAGAAAATGAGGAGCATAGAACAATATTTGGGAGCACATGAGCAAAGCTTCTGGCTGTTCTCAGAGGACTGGAAGGGGTCCTGGGGGGCGGTGCTGCTGGCGGTTCTGGAAGAGCGATGAAAGCAGAGGAAAAGAGGAACAGCCTGTGCCGTGGGTATGATCCCAGATTTCCCTTTAGGCTGGTGTGGCCTAGGAAACACACTCTGTGCAAGTAAACACATCATTATTAAGAGCCTTAAAAATCAAGCCTGGTCCTGCCTCCTTTTACAAATCTTACAAGTAAACTGGTATCATTTTAAGCAGCTTTCTCAATAGAATGGGGTTTTTGAAGCTGTGAGTCAGACGCAGTAGTTGGTTGGGAAATTAATCAAGTGAGTATAAACAGAATTTTAAAAACATGAAGCAGTTTTGAATATAAATTTAAAGTGTAATGCTTCTGCAAGGGTAACTACAGCCTTAAGCTTTTCCGTGTGTACGCGCACGCACACGTGCACATGGTAGTGATATAAATTGTTTCTTACAGTTGATTTATAACCAGAAAGAGAAAGAGAAAACATCAGAAGATGCTAAATATCTTCACCCACCCTAGGAGCTCGTGAAATGGCAACGAACACATCTTTACTGCAATATGTTTCACTTGCTGATTGAGAGGAGCAATTAGATCTGTTGGAATATTGATTTTTATTTAATAGTTTAACTTCTCTGTGCCTCATTTTCAACACTGATGAAGTAGAAATAAAATATAATTTTTGCATTGCTGAATTAGAATTAATGATAATGTGTGTAGAGGGTAAATCCCAAAGAGATTCAGCTGCTAATGGTTCTACCAGAATTACCTGTGAGGGGGAAAAGGGGAGGGCAGTGAGGAGAAGGCCAGATCTTTATGAAGTAATATCATTTAGGACTTCTTGGTAGCAAGAAAATGACACCAACTCCGCTAACCTAATTGTAAAAGGACCTGTTGCCATGGAGATAGAGGGACTACAGAAACCAAGGAAGGGCTGACCAAGCAGGTTTAGGAATGCAAGAACTTGTGAGAGTTTGGGGGTTTTCATGGCAGAAGCTAATGGACAATATTCTCAGGTGAATCCAGTCTAACTAGTCACATTCTCTCATTTCTCCCCAAAGGGGGAATCTGATGTTTGACCTTGGCTCAGGTGCCCATCCATTTGCCAGGGAAAAGCAGGGTGCCTTGACTGGAAAGCCCTTAATGGAGGCACATGATGGGAAAGGGTGGTTCCTGAAGGAAAGTCTGATGCCGCTCCCAAAAGCAAAGAGGATAGACACTGGGTAGGTAAAATGAAGGAATGCTCCTTACCACAATTCTGCTAGGATATGTTAGTTAATATCATCTGCTTCATTACCTCAAATTCAATTTCATGATTTTAAAAAGAAGTGGCTAGAAGACAATTTAGATAAGTATCTCTGGATAATTTCTCAAAGGACAGCTAAACTCTGGTGTCCTAACTTTGGAATTGGGATTTTTATACATTCTGGTCGAAGAGAATAGAATTTTTCCCCAAAGGGGAGTTGAGAAGGCAGTAGTAATGAAAGCTGACACTTATACAATGCCCATTATGTGTCAGTTGTTATACTGAAGCACTTTATGTATATTAACTAAGTTAACCCTCATAACAATTCCTGGGCTAAATATTACTGAACTGTTTCCTCTACTGTCACAGAAAAAGACACAGAAGCCCAAGAGATTAAGTAGCTTACCCAAGGTCCTGCAGGTAGTGAGAGGGGATGTCCTCAGTATTAGCCCTACTGAAGGCTATTATCTCTAATGGGATCTGTCGAATGTGAGATGCTGGGTGCTTCTTTGGAGGCCACTAGTGCCTCCCTGGTAAGGCACTGCTATTATACTACAATTCCCAGCATTCACTACATTAGCTATCATCTTAACTGCTTCTTCACCAAAAGCTCCTCCCTGTCTTGGGTGAAATCTTTTCTGTGCAACTGAGACATGAATGCAGATCTAAGTGGCAGGAAATGAAATTCTAAATTAAAATATCCTCCTCATTTTTCAGTGTTCAAAGGGAGACATTGGAGATTACTACAGGAAAAGTTTTTTTTTAATCTAGAAAGGTGTAAGGATATTTCAACGCATGCATTCTCAAACTAGGCTGCATTTTGGAATCTGTTGAGGAACTTTAAAAAAATTGATGTCTACGAAGGCCACATTCCTAGAGGCTTTCATTCATTTGGTCTGGGACGTGACTTTCTAAAGCTTTCTATGCAATCCTAAAGGGCTTCACAGGAGGCACAGCATACCATGCAGGAGATCCACCTGGGGACCACCAGGGAGGGGCAGACAGAGAAAGGAGGAAATGTGGACCAAAGCCTGTGAGGGGGAGGAACAGGGAGGCAGGGTAAATCCATTTAACATTGGGTGGAATAGATAATTTTACTGAGCTCTGGGGCATTGTAGCTGTCTGGTATCTGGCCCTGGGGTACTAAGGGCAGGTGGGTAGTGGCTCCAAAGGGTGAGAAGCTGATTGGAGGATTTTAGAAGGCTGGGCTGTGCATTGATCAGTTTTCATGGGGAAAGGTATGCTCATTCACAGAGAGGGTCAGCATGGCCCCAGATGTCAGAGCATCAGAATACAGAAAAGAAACAGAGAAATACTCTCTTCTGCCCACACTTCAACAGGCAGAAGATGATCAGGCTCTGAGAGAACTGGGAACAGCATGGAGGCCTGGAGACCACCCACCCAGTGAGGAGTGATGGGCTGAAAGGGAATAGGAAGATGGTAAATCCAAGAGAACTTCAGCCTTACTCTATTTAGCTTACCAAGATTCCAAACCCATTACAAATTGAAATCCAAGCAAAGAGAAGAAAGGCAGCTAGCTCTCCTGCCTTAAAAAGCCTGAAGGCAGAACCCACAAATTATTTTTCTGTTCCCTCGACTAGGAGAAATAGTTGAAATGGTTTTGTAGAAGAAGAAAAGGTAGTTAGAGGTGTGGACTTTTCTTTATTCTTACAAAAGTAAACTGTTTTGTTTAATTTTTATTACCAAAGTTAAGTATGCTGGATTTATACATTTTCATATCTATCTCCAAAGTTGAGTAGAAAGTGAGTTGGCCATGGACTGGAGGTTGTTGCTTACGTGTCTAAAGGAAGAGCTCCTCTGGATCATGCTAGTGGGAGAAACTGAGCCAGCCCTGCTTTCTTTTCCTAGTTCAAAGGAAAGGAAATACAAAGTAATTGATTATGAGATGATGATAATAATGGTGATAACAACAACAATTAACCTTTAATTCATGCTTATAGTGTGTGAGGCACTATTTTAGGCGCTTTAGCATTAATTACCCTGGGGCCAGGGATTTAGCTCAGTGGTTCCACCACCTGCCTTGCAAGCACAAGGACCTGAGTTCAATCCCCGGTACCAAAAAAACAAACAAACAACAACAACAAAACTGGAATTAATTATCCCATCTAACATCATAACATAGACAGTGTGGTTTATTTTGGGCCTCCAACTCCTAAATGAGGAAACTGAGGCTCAGAGGGGCTGGGGCAGTGTTATGGTTTATGTCTGGATGCTTGCCCCCCAAAGCCTCATGCATTCATAGGTAGGGATTCTGGGAAATGATTAGACCATGGGGGCATGATACTTCTCCGTGGATTAGTCCAGGGAAGGTTTTATAGCTAAATGTAATATTGGGAGGCAAAGTCTTGTCAAAGGAGGTGGGCCACTAGGGACATGGACTAGAAGTGGATATCTCCCTTCTTCCCTTCTCAGTCTCTCTCTGCTTGTTGCCTACCATACCATGAGCAAGTCTCCTCTGCCATGCCCTGATGCCATGCTACCTACCTTGAAGCCAGCCAACTATGGGCTGAAACCTCCTTAAACTGTGAGCCAAAACAAACATTTCCTCCTTAGAGTTGTGGGTATTGGGTATTGTGTCTCAGTGATGAGAAAATAACCAAGATGGGCTGCTTGCCAAAAATAAGAGATGAAGCTGACTTAAAATTGAAGCATTCATATATTAAAATCCATATTCTTAATCTCTCTATAAGCACAATCTCCTTGTATCGGAATGGCTTCCCGGAATAAGAGTGATCTCACCTTATTCACATAAGAGTTGGCAATAGTTTCCTGAGTGGAGAATGCACATGAGTGGAAAGTCTCTTGTGCTAGTCTGATAGCACAACCAGGATTGTCCTGTGGAAAATCTGTGGCATATGGAAAAGTTGTCTCTGAAATGTGGAAGAAAGATAATGAACCAAGGTTTGGTTCTATTATGCGTGATCTGGGTGATCTTGGGCACAACTCCTAGCATATACCCTTTGGCTTTCCAAGGAAATTCTTGGACTGGGTCATCTCCAAAGCTGTTGTCCATGTAAATTGCCCCTACTAGCAATCCTATGGGGGAGTGATTATTGAAAAGGCAAGGAAAATGTTGAGCAGGTTCTTGTACCTCTAAAAGGAAGCACCAAATAGCTGTTGGGTGTGTTTAAGAGCTCTAAAAAAGTACTGGCTGTAATTGCCTCCTGCTTCATCTTCATCTGGAGAATGGATAAACATCACTGGTGACTCTTCTTGGGTGCTCAAGGAATCTTCAAAAGAAGGAAGGGATGATTATTCAGTGAGAGTATGATAGAAGTCCCTAGGGCAGACAAAGTATGAAGGAGGGTGTTCCTAGAATTTTGATCCTAGAATTCCCACTTGGTGCTACGGATATAATTCAGAGCAGTAACATCTTCTTAGGAGATGTTTGTAAAGGTATTATGGCATTTTTGTTTGCACATCGGCTAGTAAGTGCTAGATTTATTGACCTGGAAACACTAGTATCCTGTAAGTCTTGTGACCACCACACACAATGAAGAACTGACCTGTTCCAAATGCTCTTACAGCATCCACTGAGAAGGAGCAAAAGAAGTTCACATCATGGACAACACAGCAAACCTCTTTGTGTGATTTTCCGAACATTAATCAATAATCCATTAACTCAGGGAAGCTGAATGCGCCCTGTATAGAACCCAAAACAAATTGACAGATATCCTCTGAGAACTGTGTAGAGACTGTGTAGTTTCAGACAAGACATTTCCTTTCCTTGGCCCCAGTTTTCCATATTTATAGAACTAACACTATATAACTTCCTAATTATTCTCCCCAGAAAAAAGAAGCGACTTGTAAAAATAGAAGGTTGAAAATACTTTGTTTTTCTCATTTTGTATTTGGTACATGCATGTACTACCAGTATCCAAAATGCATATGGTAAAGTTTAAACCAAAAGTATACAGACTCAAATGATTCCAGAATATTTTCAGTAAAGTATGATTTTAACTGTTTAGTATCTTCCCTGGAAATATATTTGTATTTTATCAGAGCTAAGAATCAAAAATTCAAGGAAAGTCATAGTAGATCACTCTTCTTATGGGCTAAAAGTCAATTTTTTAAAAAGAAAGATGCTAGGGAAAAAACAGGGGTGATTCTAAGTCAGAGGCAAGGTAAAAATAATTCAGCTAAAAAATAATTTGGGGAAGAAAAGCAGGGATTCTGAGAGGTGTTGCCCCACAGTGAGACTTGGTTATTGAAATATGAAGTGAAAAATATGATTATTTTTCTTTCTTCTACTTTATGTATGGGTCACTCCCAAGATAGTTTTTAATAGTCATTTTTTGATTAAAAATATTCCTTTATTCTTTAAAGAAGAACATTAACTACTTTTTAAACAATGTTGTATTTGTTTTTAAGTTTCTGAAATTAAAAAGAAAATCATGCAACTAGACTACTCATGCTTTGGAACTTGAAATTTATAATGTTGGATTTCAGGCTTTTGTCTTTTGTCTTATCCTTTAAGAAGGGTTCTATTTTGTTTATTTGGATTTATATTCTCATTCTGGAAGAATTAAGTGTTTTCTGTTGCTGGTTGTGACTTGTGGCCTATATTATACCCATTATCATTAGTCTTAGTAGGAATCTGATGACCCAATAAGCTAGGAATTTGACCCCAGAAAATAGCAAGGGAATGACAGAATTTGTAATGACTTTAGGATTAGTGCTCTATGGGTCCAGGGCAAGATGCATGTTAACAAAGGGGACATCTGCCCCAGCTCCATGGCTGGCCCCACATACAGCACTGCCCTTCAGCTCCCAGAGGAAGCCAGACTTGCTGGGCCTCCCAAGGGGCAGACACTTTCCATGCCTTGTCTCAATTGATCATCTCCCCTACCTGGTAAGAAAGGCATATGGTTGCCACGGTACAGATGAGGAAATAGAAACTTAGGGAAGTTAAGTGACATGCCCAAAACTGTATATTTTGTCTTCACATTGACTTTTGTTTCCAATATGTTTATCATAGTATTGCTTATTTATGAAGTATATACAATTATGAATAGTTCTTGTCTTCTTATCAATGTGAATTATATGTCCTGTACATTATTGTTCGCTTATATGATGTTTAGGACAAGAAAATGATGATGAGGCTGGCCCTACCCTGGCTCCAGAGACTTTCTAGGGACATTTGAGGAGCTCCTTGGGTCACCTCGATTCAGTAAATTGTAGTCTAGTGTGGGGCTTATGACTCTAGTCCAGATTTTGCTATTTAGCAGCTAAGTGCCCTGGGCAATTTTTTTCTTTTCTTATCTTCGGTTTCCTCATTTATAGCATGGAGATAATAGGAATGCTCTCAGGATTCTATGACAAGGAAAGGAGGTACTGTATGAAAGTGCTCAGCACCTACTAGACCATCATTATTGTAGTCCACTTCCCACTGTCCATGGTCTCCTCTTGATATAAGAGCTCCCTCCTGAAACTCTCAGAGTTTCAGCAAAAATTTGAGAAGAATCTAGGCCCAGGAAGAAGGGAGAACAAACAAGCATGGCTGTTTTCCTAAACTCTCTCAGTTTCAGGCTTGTGTAATAAATCCTCTCATTCTAGATTAAGGATAAATCCCAGAACCCTGAAGAAACACAGGCCAGGGGCAGCATTTCCTTTGCTCCATTTTCTGTAGTAGAGCCAGAGTTCAGAAGGGTTTCCTAAAGTGAAAATACCAGTATTCTGAGCGGTTAGTCAGTTTTACCAGGGAAATATCTTCTTTTGTTAATCTCTGGGCTATTGTTAAAATAAGGTGTCATGGACACTGGCCTTGGATGAGTGATGTATTTTATGGGAGTTCTAGGGTGAAAGCCTTGGCTCAGCTACCTATCTCAAAACATCAATCAATATGACATATGGTGGTAAAGGCAGAAAAAGGAACTTTAACCCATGTGGCCAATTCTGGAAAGGACAGATATAGAAGTTCAAGATCTGTCTTAGAGAAGCTGATAGAAATTTTGAAGTTTTATAGAAAAGAGGAACATAGGCAAGGAACGTTAAGTAGGGGTGTGCACCTGGCAGGGTAGGTAATCCAGGTCTAGCCATGATCTGGGTGATCATTATCTGTGGTTCTGCAAGGTGGCTCCAAAGAAGTCCTCCTTATGGCTTGAGGTGGTGATCCAGTTCCCTTGAAATGACACAGCCTCAGTTCTGTCATGGATTACTTACTCCCACTTAGTGGAGGCAATGTCACAATGGAGTAACCTGTTCTATGAGGCTCTGCTTTTCCTGGAATCCAAGCTGACTACAGGTTTAAGACAATGACTGTGACTTCTAGATGCTGAACATTGTAAAAACCGGCAATGGAGTATTCCTGCAAATCTTGAAAAATGCCTTAGCTACTCTATCTTGGTGTCCTCAGTCTTAAAGTGTGTGGGGGGGTTGAGACAACTTAGGTAAATTTGAGGCTAATTGTTTCTGTTATTTTTTCTCATTGCTAACCCAAAGTTAAAAGGGGGAGAGGTGTTTTTAGCTTACAGTTCATAGAGGCTTCAGTGCATAATCGGCTGGCTCTGCAGCAGGATGGAAGAAGGGCAACAGTTTAAAATGGACAGACAGTAGCAAAGCAACAAGAGATCTTAACAGCCTCTTCCTGCCTTTAATCTCATTCAGACTACTTAAAGTGGGTAGTATTCACACCCTTAATCCTAGTGCTATTGGGCCTAGCCCCACCTTCAATCAATCACACTCTAGTTTCAACCACCTCTGAAAAAGCATGGGGCTTTGGGGAGTCATCTAAACACAAGACATAACAGAAATCAAGTATTATCAGCTATTAGATACTCCTCCAGTGACTAACATGCCAATGTGATAGAGATGAATAAAGATCTGACTCAAAGTTTTAAGGTAGTAGAGGAGACAGATGCAAAATAAAGGCGGAAATACCAAACTTTATCCTGCTTCTAGTTACTCACCTGCAGGCCCGCCCTGCACTGTCACATGTCAGCTGTTCAACGTTTGACTGTCATTACGTCACTCATATTAGAAATTTGTTTTATCTTTTTGTTTTACTATGAACAAATGAATCTCACTTCTTACTCAGCATAGTTGCCTCAGTTCATTCATTCAACAAACACACAGGCATTTGAGACACACAGTGTGGCACGGATGACTGCATGTGTCCATGTATGTGACAGTGGACTGAATTCCACCTCAGCCTTTTTTGTCCCCAAAGAAAGCTGGGGAACTTCTTCCCCTCCCCTATCACCTTTGAATCATTACAAAAACGGTCAAGGGTTTTGAAACACCATTTCTAGAGAAAACTATAGAACAAGGAGAATAATGAAAAAAAAAAGAGCACAAGAAGAAAAGGTATCGTGGTTCACTGAGTCTTGCTTGGGTATTGAGTATTGTGCTAAGCATTTTATATTTCACTGGATCATTTATTTCATGTAACAATTCTATGAGGTTGGAATTGATAATATTCTCATTTTCCTGATAAGGAAAGAGGTTATAAACCTGGCCAGTAGTAGAACTAGGATTTATACCCCTAAAATTATAATTGACTATTTCTTAAGGGCAATGTTTTGCAGTCACAAGAGTGGAGGACTCTATTACTCCCAGAAAGAGGCCTTTGGGTAAAGGAAAAGAGATGCTTGGCCTGGCTTGTAAATTCTCCAGCTCCTGGTGCTGTATGCTGGCTGCAAAAGGAGCTCAGTTAATACTTACAAGGCAGTGAGGGAGAAAATGGGGAAGGGCATGAGGAATGAGTGAAGCCCTTCAGTCTCTCCCACCTTATCCAAACCTGTCCAGGCTTTTGTCCCACCAACCCGTCACAGGCCAGCTACCTGCACGCTCTTCTTTTTCATTTTGCAGCTCCCAGGAGTTTGCAGCAGCACGGTGGTTGGTTTCCTCTGCTCTTTCTGATCTCTGAAATCCTCGTTCTTGCAATTCTGGCTGTGCCTGGATTCAGGCTCCAAAGCTGCCAAGAAGGACAACCCTCCAGGACTTTTTCATTTTAAGGGTGAGAGGATTACAACAAACAGTAAATAAGAGGAAATTATAGAGCTCGTGGATCCTTCCCAATCACCTCCACAAAGAGCACCATATTACCTCCTTACTCCATATATTATGTTCTCTCCAGAGTCAGACACCAATCTTGCCACATGGTGGTGACTTTAGCAGCTATCTAACCTCTCTGACCACATCTGTAAAATACAGTCTCCTTAGGTTGATGTGAGCACTCAAGACAGTTGTGAATTAGAAAGGACTTAGCACAATAAAAGTGGTAAATAACTGTTGTCTCCCTCCAAATTCATACACTGAGGGCCTCACCTCCAATGTGACTGTCTTTGGAGAGAAGATCTTTAAAGAGATAATTAATGCTAAATGAGGGCATTAGGGCATGGCCCGAATGCAATAGGATTGCTGTTCTTAGAAAAAATGGAAGAGTCAGCAGTTACATGCTCACTGAGGAAAGGCTAGGTGCGGACATGGGGAGAAAGCAACTGCCCCCAGGCCAAGGAAAAGCCTCAGAAGAACTGCTCTGCTGACACCTTGATCTTGAATTTCCAAGTTTCTAGAACTGTGGAAAAATAAATTCTGTTTAAGCTATCCAGTCCATGGTGTTTGTTGTGGCAGACCTAGAAACTAATATAGGTGTTCATTCTTCCTCTTCTATCCTTCTTAGAGCACACGCACATGTCCAAAGGCAGCTGAAAATTCTAACCTGGTCCCAATTTAAGCCATTGAGACTCAAAACTTGGGAAGAAGGCAAAGGAATATCAGCATGCTCTCAGTGTCAGAGAGGAGCATAGTTTACAGGTCTGCACAAGGATTATTTAATTATTGAGGCAATGGTGGGGACCTTTGATGGATGAGCTGAATATATCTCTGAACACATTCACTCTATGTCTGTATGAGAGTCACGTTGACTTTTTGCAAAGTATCTTTTGACAAGTACAAGGAAGTCTAATATTTTAAGAACATAAATATCATTCTTTAAGGAGAGAAAAGGCTTTCTTGGAATATTATTTGCTTTTTCGAAGACAACTCTAGATTTTCTCTGTTTCTGTATTAACAATTATAAAGCACCAATGTTAAAGAAGCACAAAATCACAAGGCACAGTGGCACATACCCCAACTACTCTGAAGTCTGGGGCAGGAGTACTGTGAATTCAAGCTACTGGGCTACTTAATGAGATTCTGTCTCAAAATGAAATTTAAGAAGGAACTGGGGTATAGCTCAGGCTTGGGTGTTTGCCTAGCATAGGTGAGGCCCTAGGTGCCAAACCCAGGAATCCCTGCCCCCTGACCACCACCACATAAGAAGGAGAGAGGGCATGGTAGTACGCGCCTATGATTCCAGTATTCTGACTGGCTAAGGCAGGGGGGTTGCAGAACAAATCTGAAGTAAAATGTGAAGTTGGTTCTTATTCTTCACTCTTTTCCTCCTTTCTATTTAGCCATGCACTGAGCCATTTTATCTGGGCCTGTTATTTTAGCTCCTTGTCTCAGATAGTAGGAAATGATCTGATAGGACACAAGTTATCCATGACTATAATGGCTTCTCCCAGGTTACTTGCATTTAAGTAGGGGACTGATGTTCTAACCTAGTGGCTTTTAGACTGTGTTTCATGGGCTTTGCCTCCACTCCCCAAGCTTCCCTTCTCTCTGCCCCATCTCTATAATACACTTTAGCCAGAGCAACTTGTTATTTATTAAGAATCAGGTAACTTTTCATTTGAGATTAATTTCTTAGAAACATTTAATCTAAGAGATGAAGATTTAGTCATGGCAGAGGACTTGTTGTATAGTGGAAAGAAACTTGAAGCCTGGACATATGAACAAATTCTTGCTCTGCCTTTTCTTTACCAGCTGTGTGATATTATGAAGACCTCTGGATTTCATGGGGCCTCATCACTTCTTGGTCTTTTGGCTAAGATGCAGTGCAATTTCATGGAGCCCCACTGAAAAAACTGCCTTGTGGGAGAATTGTGAATGTTAAGAAAGATCATGTAAGATTACGTGTGATAGGGAAGTGTTACTATCAACAACTTCAGGTATTGCTGACCTGCAATGGAAGAGATGTTTAAGGGTCGCCAGCAGAGCCCCTCAGAGCTTCTCCAATCATTCTGATTAAGTGGCTACCTGGACACAGAATTATGGATTTTCACCTTAGCATTTTAGCACTTGTTCACTTGTTACCTTAAATCCCTTTTGCCACCCATCTGGTCCTCCAGTTTCTAATTAAAATTTGAAAGTTGCATGAAAATTCGGCAGGAACAGTTTTTATGAAATGTTTTCTTCAGTGGAGCAGATTGTGCTGCTCATCGAGTCAGCTTTCAAACTAATTTAACTCTCAGCCCTGTAGTGTTCATACAGAAAGGCAGGGAAAGCGAAAAAGGATCGGTGAGGAATGGTGCCAGTTGGACAGCTTCATGCTTCTGACTCACTGCAGAAGCATTAATGTGTCAATAGAAACATCTTCACTATCCCCCTCCTCTTATTTTTGCAAGAAGACACTATCAGCAAGGCAAGGCCCAAAGAGAAGCTGTACTGACATTATGATCAAGCTTAAAGGCAAAGCAGCAGTTTACATGGAGAGCTCCCTTGGTCACTAACTAGATCAAAGGAAAAAAATAGCAGTGGGTGGGCTGGGGATTCAGCTCAGTGATGTCACACCTGCCTTGAAAGTGCGAGGTCCTAGGTTTGATCCCCAGGACTGGGGTAGGGCAGTAGAAATAACACTGGGAGAATAGAAAGGGAAAGGGATAGATATATAATAATACATATCTATTCTCTTCTAAGCATTTAATATATGCCTGATATTGAGCTTATCAGTGAATCATTTTATCTGATCCTCACAACCGCTACATTAGTGAGAGCAGGTTAATTGCTATAACAAATAACCCCAAATTTCAGTGGCTTAAAATTCTAATAGCTGATTTCTTACTCATGTTATAGTATGAGTAGGAGGAAAGAGAGGGACTCAAGTTAGTCCTTGAGAAAACTCACCTCTAAGAGTCTTGGAGCTCTTCTGCCTTCTGTCTGTTGGCAGATGGGGGGGGAGAGAGAGAGAGAGAGAGAGAGACTTAATGGTGAAGATCTTACAGAAGGTGTCTGAAGGTGCGGGCATGGATGTAGCATGCATGGCTACTGCCCACATTCCACAGACCAGAACTCAGTCACGTGGCCTACCTAGCTGCAAGAAAGTCTGAAAATGTCCATTAGGGTCATGACTGGAGGAACAGGAAACAGTTTGGTGAACACACAGTCTCTGTCTTAACTCCTTATCATTACTCCCTATTACAGGGGAAACCGGATTTTAGACGGGGAAAATAACTTGCTCAATAGTACATCGCAACTAAGTGGCAGAATCAGGATAGGTTCTTGGTGTGATAAATTCTGAGCAAAGGCCAAGAACCTGACTATAGGTTACTGGGATATGCAACTATAAAAGAAACTGTTATTCCTGTGCACATTCTCCAAATCTGGATTTTTCCTGAAGTTTGCAAGGTAACATGGGCATGTTACAGTTTTGAAAAATACAGTGGAAAGACAATAGTGGGATGAGGGTGTAGACAAGGTTGTACCAGGGTATACTTCTTCAGGTTTCCCTTAAAGTGAGGTTCTGACTCCCTGACTTTTTGGCTTTCTCCCCAAGTGGTAGATGATAAAATTGAATTCATCTTGTACTGCTACAAAGACTTCAACCATAATCACTGCACACTTTCTCAAATACTTCCTTAGGATTACCTCCTTTAACCTTTAGCCATTAGGGAAATGCAAACCAAAACTACTTTGAGATTCCAACTCACCCCATTCAGAATGGCTGTCATTAAGAATACTGAAAACCACAAATGCTGACAGAGATGTAGGGAAAACAAAACCCTTCCACACTGCTGTTGGGAGTGTAAATTAGTATATTCCCTATGGGAATCATTATGGAGGTTCCTGAAAAATAGAAATGCCATTTGATGAGCTGTATTACTCTTTGGTATATACTTGAAGGAATGAAAGTCCACATACTCTAGAATGCCTGAATACCCATGTTTATTGTGACAAAATACACAATAGCCAAGATATGGAATCAGCTTAAGTGCACATCAACAGATAAATGGATAAAGCAAATGTAGCATATATATATGAAGTATTACTCAGCTGTAAAGGAGAACAAAATTATGTCATTTGTAGGAAAAACGTTGTATCTGGAGATCATCATGTTAAGCAAAATAACGCAGGCTAAGAAAGATGCGTATTTTCCCTAATATTGTGCCATCTTTTAAAAATAACTCCGTGAAAGTAGAAGAGAAACTATTATAAAACAAGGGAATAATGGAGAGGGGGAAGAGGAGTATAAAACATGTTTGTTATATGCATATACAAAAACAACCAATTAAAAGTTATACTCACATAAATGAAATTATTATAATGATTACTAATATATTTTTCCATGTTTCATTGCCTGAATAAATACTGTTTACCACTGTTAAAAAAACCCAATATTTTGTAATATTAATATGAATCTGATCCTCACAACCGCTACATTAGTGAGAGCAGGTTAATTGCTATAACAAATAACCCCAAATTTCAGTGGCTTAAAATTCTAATAGCTGATTTCTTACTCATGTTATAGTATGAGTAGGAGGAAAGAGAGGGACTCAAGTTAGTCCTTGAGAAAACTCACCTCTAAGAGTCTTGGAGCTCTTCTGCCTTCTGTCTGTTGGCAGATGGGGGGGGAGAGAGAGAGAGAGAGAGAGAGACTTAATGGTGAAGATCTTACAGAAGGTGTCTGAAGGTGCGGGCATGGATGTAGCATGCATGGCTACTGCCCACATTCCACAGACCAGAACTCAGTCACGTGGCCTACCTAGCTGCAAGAAAGTCTGAAAATGTCCATTAGGGTCATGACTGGAGGAACAGGAAACAGTTTGGTGAACACACAGTCTCTGTCTTAACTCCTTATCATTACTCCCTATTACAGGGGAAACCGGAT